AAAGTATAAATTAGCAGTTAAAAGACTAGCCAAAATAAAAAACAGTATAAATACTTAAACACGATGCTGAAAGAAACACGTTCAACCCTGACCTCTTTTTGGACAAAATTCTATTTTGGTAAAACTGGCCAAGTCTGACCTAACTTTTCTAAAGCCAAAATATTTTGGCCATTAAACTGATTTTGTTTTGGACTCTCTTCCCGTTGATCCAAAAATAAAACTAGTTTTGCTTAAAAGAGGGCCAAAGCTAGTCTTGACCCAATTTTAGAGTGGTGCCAAAAACATTCTTACAATATGTTTGACAACTACTCAAAACTAATCTTAGCCCGTACAATTTTGGTCTAGAAGCTAGTTTTTAGTTTGGCAATCAATTGGTCAATAACTTTGGCTTGTAAACTAATTTTCTTTCAGATCACCCCTTATATGAAACAAACTCTTCAAGTTAAGCGAAAACCAGGCCAAACCCGATCATATTTGAAATTGCCAAACACACCCCCTTATCAAGTAATAACTAAGGCTAAAAGATCAAATAGGTTTCTATACTAGGGCCTCATACTCAAATCGGTCCCTGCACTTCGTTTTTTTTTTTCTCAACACGTTTCATGCACCACTTATTAGATGTAAATTTAGTCCTATTTTAACTCTCAGTTAATTGTTTTGTTGAATATAAGTTGAAAGGACGTTACAACCTCACCCTTCTTATAAATTGTGATTATGTCCTTAAAATTTCAGTATTTCATTTATCAAGAGCTCCATAAGCTCTTTCTTTGTGCCCCCATGAGCAATCATTTCAATGAATCTCAACACGAGGCACACTTGTAAGGAAACCGACAATCATAAGCCGATGCTTTATCAATTTCATCTGCATAAGTACGATACAAATACAAGCAGATTGTTGATCATTTTCACAAAGAACTTTCATGCGTAAGTCTCACAATGGAGGAGGGGATTTCTAGATCATTTAATTATAACTCCATCACCATCGTCGTCGCTGAGCAGAATTTAGTTTCTTATCGCTCATTCAATTTCTCAAGTCTTCTGAATTTTTTCGAGGATTTGAGTTTGTGCATTACGCACCAATTATTTGGTGGAATTCACTAATGCGATAAGAGTACTTGTAGCTTATAACTCGCTTAGACTAAAAAGCGTGAGACAGAGAAATGAAACCATGGCCATCCAACTATCCAAGCGATAAGTAATTTTTGGACCAAAAGTGTGAAACTAATTAAGAAATAAAATCAAGTTCTTCATTGCGCGCAACAAGTAGTTTAGACCTATTTTAGCTTTGTCATCAATTCATCCCGTGTACATGTTCCCAAAACCTTCCCCTATTTATAGTTGATGAACAAATTCAAATCCTTTGGTGAGCTTTATAACTAATTTTTTTAGGGGCTGTTTGGTTCGTTTCCTAGATATAGGGAAATGCATTTTCATGTTCAAAAATACAAGTCTATGTACGTTTTAGGGGCTGTTTGGTTCGTTTTCTAGATATAGGGAAATGCATTTTCGTGGTATAATCGGAAGAATAACAGTATCCTAACAAAACTTCAAATCCAGCCTCACTACAATCTCAAAAGTTTATGTATGTTTTTAGACTCTTAAATAAAAAAATTCAGCGGCCTTCATTTCCATGTTGTTGAGGATAAATTGCTCATAAATGAAAAACTAACACCTATTATTTAATTAATATTAAAAAAATGGCTTAATATATAACAGACATATGATACAATAATCAGGTTGAGAAAAAAAATCAAATAGGAAAATCAATTTGAGCATGGGGCCGCAGGAACCCGATCACTAAGGACCGCCTTCTAGCGGTCCGATAGCGAAAACTTGGAAAGGGTCCAATTCACAAGACCCGACCCGATACCGAGCT